TCTGACTTAGTTATGTGTCCCTCTTTCCACTTTCTATACTTGTCCTTTTTATCTTTCAATTTATCAGAGAGTTCTTTGTGCAGCCATGCTGGTTTCTTTTGAGAGCTGTTATTTTTCCTCTTTGTTGGTATTGTGCTAGACTGGGCTTTTATTATCTCACTTTTCAAAATTTCCCAAGCATCTTGAGTTGTTTTCCCCTTGAGGATTCTCATCTATGGAATCCTTCCCAAACCCTCTCTAAGTTTATTGAAATTAGCTCTCTTGAAGACTCTAGTTTGACTGTGTTCTAGTGCTTGTGCTTCCATAATGTTGAATTCCAATATTGCATGATCACTTCCTCCCAAGGTTCCTATGGCTTCAACACCTTCTATCATTTCATTTCTGTTAGTGAGAATTAGATCCAAAATGGCTAATCCCCTAGTTCCCTTCTCTACTTTTTGGGAGACAAAGTTGTCTGCTAGGTTTGTCAGGAATCTGTTTGATCTTCCACTTGGTGCAGAGTTTGTGTCCCAGTTGATGTCAGGGTAGTTAAAGTCCCCCGTTACTATTGTGATGTGCTTCCTACATACCTTAGTTAGCTGACTAGCAAAAAGTTCATCTATTTCCTCTGTTTGGTTGGGTGGCCTATAGTATACACCTATGGCAATGTCATTTTCCCCCTTTTTATATTGACCTAAATTCATTCAAGACAGTTTTCATCATTGTTGTGCTCTATGGGTTACAATTTAAATAATTTAAACAATTGAGAGAATCAGTCCTAAGATTAAAACAACAATATTTTTCAATAGTGCCTTTATTACATTTGCTGAAGAATAATAAACATTCTGATAAAATCAGAACAATTTTAATGCACTATTCTACTGAGACAGTAGTATGAAAATAATTCAAAATGCAACTTATAAATATGTTTTATATGATATTAAAATATTATTCCATTAAAGGACTGCTATGCAATACTAAGAAAAGGGGAAACACTTATTTCATTGTTAGCCCACTAGACTAAGATTCAATTTGTTCTAGAGGAAATCCTGATTTTACTGAATTCAGTTAAAATTGTAAGCATTTATTCTGTAAAGAAACTTGACAAGTTGTTTGATTTAAAATAATGTTATATTATTAAAATTACGTTAAATATATTTGGAAATAAGACATAAATGGCAGATTTACTGTACTTATCTCTGTTTTTGGAGAATATTTTCTTTGGTGCTACATTAAAAAAAGAGAGGATTATATATTTAAATCGGTAGAAAGGGTCCTTTTCCTTTCACCATCTCTTCCCATTGAAAATATATCTGAAAAATCGCTTCAATTATTTTCATATATAAACATAAGAGTAAAGAATAATAAATGCATACAAGCCACTTTTAATTTTCATAGTTACTCTAAATTTGTAGGTGCCATACTTCTGTTTTCCTTTAGCTTTTCATAATTGCCTTGAAGAGATGCCAGATTAGTTTTTAACTCTACAGTGATGAATATCTAAACACAAGGCAAGAGGAGCCAATTCTTAAAATAATAAAAACTCATTGATTCGGCTGTTATATCACTGTACTGTAAGTAAACAACTGTAGCTGATTATATTGTATCTGGTAGCTAAGATAGTATTTTCATATTTTTAAAAAAGAATAGTTTTTGTACTTTCACATTTCCAGGAGTGGAAAGATGCAGTCCCCAAGTCTCACAAGGCCCCTAATGCTATGTGACTTCAGAGTCCTCCCCCAAATCAAAATTGCAGAATTGCTAAAAACCACAACATAGTTTCTGCTGTTTTGAGACAGAAAAGATATTTTTAAAGAATGAAGATGCAAATAAACACAGAACAAGACATCCTTGCTTTCTTCCTAAAACCCCGTTATGACTATGGGACCTAGCTGATCAATAAGCTCTCCAAAGTCAGTCCATCTCCCTGCTATTTTCTTACTGCAGCCAATCAGGTATATTAAATAAGAGAAAATTAATGTAATGTATCTGGCTGTTGCAATGTCCATAATGTATTGATGAATTAACTAAATTCGTGGAAAAAATGGATAGTGATTATTACTATCAAAAACAATTCCATTATCAGGAAGAATAAAATAATTCCAAACATTAAAACCAGGGCTTTTTTTCTCATAGAATGCCCAGAACGGAGTTCCGGCACCTTTTTTGGATGGAATCTTGTAGGGTGGCCAAGGCGGGTTGCATGACATGTGTGAGTTCCAGCATCTTTTTTTTTTTAGAAAAAAAGCACTGATTAAAACTGTACTAAATACATTGTAATTGAAATGATATTCATGTGAGCTTTCTATTCCTACCAGATTCCAACATATCTATTATTTTTCACATAATAGATAAAAATTTGAATCCAAAGGAGGTATGTGGGACACTATTTATTATTAATGCAGATCTCCAACATATAGACATTTAGATTCTTAGGAGGCATTTAGTTAACCACAAGAATGTAGTAGACATTTGACAACATTTCCAGTGGTATCCTAGGAGAGAAGAGCAGGGAAGATGATCAAGACCTGAAAAAATCCTTATGAATAATACTGGAGGCATTGAAAATGTTTAGCCCAGAGAACTGAAACTATGGATATACATATAACTTGGATCCAAGCATCTAAAAAGCTGTCATGTAGAAATATTGATAGATATTTCACAGTTGTTCCAGAACACAGAACAAGAAAAATAAATTGTTTAAATTACAGGGAGCTATAGTTTGGTTGGACATCAGGGGAGGAAAAATTCTAAACATGGAACAAACTGGATTCTACTTGGCTGAAGGTCTTTAAAGACAGATTGGCTAGCTAAATCTGTATTAATGGATACTTGTATTGGGCAAAGATTAGACTAGATGATTTTTAAGTATATTCAAACCCTTACATTTTATGATAATAAAATAATAAACACCGCTCCCAAAGGCCCTAATATAACATCTTAAGTGTTCTGAATTAATAAGAACATTATCACAACCAAAAAGTTATGAGATATTCTTGTATTATCAAAAACCATCTTTCTTTCCAACCCATCCAGAAAGTTCTTTCTGGCCTCAGAATGTCAGAACAATGGAATGGGAAGAATCTTTGGGTTGAAAAATTAATGGATCTTCTGAAATCAAAAGCTCCTGAATCTCTAAAATGTCCCCAAACTGACTGCATCCTATACCTACTTTGGTAAAAACCCTCTCTTCCTCTACTTCCTCACTTCTGCTCCCAACCGGAACCCAGGAAAGTCTTGAGTTTCCAAAGGCTGTGATATCAAAATCTTCTGATCAGGTAGGATTAATCTGACCAAAAGGACAGTAAAAAGAGATGTATTACTATCTTGGTGCTATAAGACAGCAAAAAAAAAAAACATGGTAGAAGACAGATCAGTCTGTTTAAATTGTACATTTATTCATAGATAAATAACACACTGTCTATCAAATCTACTCTAGCAATGTTTCTTGGTTTTTTATATCTATTTATTCTCTAGGCAGATACCTGAAAACGGATGAAAATAAGAAACTGAGAAGTAAAACAATTAAAGGAACATGTCTATAGGGCACATATTATGAGTAATGTGCTGAAATAGATCATGTTACCTTCTGTAAACTAGCTTGTTACCACTTCCCTTTTCACTGTTGTGATTTAAAAAAATCCCTTAGAAACATACAAAGAGGTCAAACAAGTTTTTTTATTGTTGCTTTCAGAAAGAAGGCTAGTGAAGCCAAACAATAAAGCACTGCAGTTACATTTCAGGTAACTATACTAAACTCATCCACATTAACAGGTAGTGAAACTTACTGGAGGATTCAGGAGTCTTTGAAGAAAATTTCTTGTAATGTGTTTTTTTCTGCAGGAGAAGACAACTCTGAAATAGCTTGTTCTGCTGTTTAAAGTGTAAGTAATGAACTAAAGGACCATAAATTATCTTTTCTAGAAATTTTACCTTCTGCTATTATTTATAAAAATGTTAATTAGGTGTGCATTTTTTTTCCTGTTTAATTTTAAAGTGGCTTTGAAAGACAGTGAAATTAAAATATTTTAAGGTGATGTGCAGTGTGATTTTATGAACGTTGTATTCAGTGGTGGGATTCAGATATGTGAACAACTGGTTCTCTGTGTGGATGCTGCTTCCAAAAATCCATTCTGGGCCTGGGCAACAAAAAATTAGCTACTGGTTCTGCCGAACTGGTGTGAATTGGCTGAATCCCACCACTGGTTGTATTCTCTGTTGCTTGTATAAAACATACACACGTGATATGTTGTCCAAGGGTCAGCCTGACGTGTTTTGTATCAAACAAGCTTGCCAAACCCTTAAGTTTATGGAAGTGCAAGAAATCTTTAGAAGGTAAACGAACCATCTGGGTTTTATGCAATAGAAGTTACTGTTTATGGGATTGTAAACTATTGGTTTACATTCAGTAAACTGAAACAATCCAAGCAGGGTGAATAATCTATGTACTATAGATCTTTTCGCCGCGCCCTCAAGACATGGCTTTTTCAGCAAGCGGGTCTGGCCTAGGGAGAATTTTAAATAGGGACAATTTTAATTAGAATTTTAATGGTAACACAGCGGTAAATATTTGTTTTTAATTGGTTTTTATTGGGGATAGTGTTTGTATCGTTTTAATATGCTGTAAGCCGCCCTGAGTCCTGTTGGGAGAAGGGCGGCATATAAGTTCAATAAAATAAATAAAATAAATAAATACAGTAATATGAAATCGGCATCACAGCAGCACTCCAGCAATCAAAGACTGGACTGGGAATCCCAAAATTTATTTTGTGTGCCAGGAATCTTACTGAAAAATTTCACAAAACTGGTGATCAAAAATGATTGCATGATTTCACACCATTGTAATGAGGAGTATTGAGTGCAGTGATATTTAACATAGTTAAAAATAAATGAAAATAAAAGCCCACTTCTTTCCCCAAAAAATTATTAAACTGAAAAGCACAACTTTATTTGTGTGTTCCTTTGTCCCATCTACTTTTCATCGTTGATGGAAGCCCATTCTCCTCAAGAAGTATTTAATACGGCCCTGTGGTCAGAGACTGCCTATTCACGATAGATATTTATAAATATTCCTTAGAAATATTTGTGAATGAGAACCTTAGGAAGATATTGCATTGGGGTAGTTTATTACCAAGAACTCTCAAAGATTGGTGGAGATGGCAAAATTAACTGCTTTAACTAGGAATAAAAAAAAACTGCTGGGAAACCACTTTAGGTCAAAAGAGAAAAAAATAAAACTTTGATTTTGAGTTTTGATGATTAAGTAGGCCATGGTTGTAGAAATGGCTAGTATTAGTTATTTTAGATAAATAAAAAATTAACATTATAACTATATTACCAAAAGAAGTTGGAAGTCGTTGCTTTTTGTTTTCTGCTTTTCTTTATTTTTCCTCACTTTACGTACATTTTCCCTTTCCTTCACCTCCTTTCCTCTTCCCCTATTTTTTCATTGTCTTTATTTATATTTGCTTTTATATTAAGAAAAAACTTTTAGTAACAAATATTTTTTTAAAAAATGGTTCCCCAAGAAATGTAAAAATTTGTGATTTTTTCCCAACTTTTTATGTCCAATTTATTTAGTTGTTCAATTTCCATGGATGCCCATCTCAGACAATTACCCTTATAATAATAATTTCCATAAAATACTGCTCCCCTTGATTTCTGGAGAGTAATTTCACAGTAGACAATAATAAATTGTGTTATTAATTTTTCAATATATTTACTGGATTTATATTCTACTTCAATTGATGCCACCTTTGAATGGTTTACATACTCTATTTTCATAAATAAAATTAAAATTATATAAATATTAATTATTTAACATTCTACTACAGCTCACATTTTCATGACAGATATCAGTAAAATAAATTCATTTCAAACAACCTTCAAATTATAAGAAGTCATGGTTAACCACATCTCTATATCCCCAGAGTCTTCAGGAAAAGCCAGTTTTAATGGCCTTTCTAATTCCAGCTGGGTAGGAGTCCAAAAGATTTACACAGGAAGTTACAGAATGCTGTTCCAAGGAAGGAGGGCCTTGATTAAAAATGTCTACCTGATCTGGACAAGCAGAAACAATTGGGAGAACGTAGTCCTGAAGACATCCAAGACCCCAACCGTTTTTTCTCAAATTTGCATAGTTTTTATTATCCATTTTCAAATAGTCATAAAAATGTACAATCACCAAAATAAAGAACAAAAACACACAAATAAACATATAAATAAAAACAATCTGTAATTACAAGTATATGAAGTTCATCTGATTTTTTTTAAGTCTTTAAAAGGGAAAATTGAACCTGGAACAGCTTTAGAAGTGGCAACGAGTACTCAAAGCAAACTGGTTCCCAATGCAACTTTTGAAGTAGAGATGTTACATCAGAATTCATGAAGTCTAATCACTATTCTGGAGCAGCTCCAGCTTCAGAAAGGATTTCAAGTGCAACCCATGTAGAGTGCATTGCAATAGTCCAAGTGAGATACAACCAAGGCATGTGTGAATGAGGGGAAAGTCTACCACTCCATAATTATTCCTACAGATGAAATTTTACAAGGGTGTATTTGCTACAGCTACCAGCTGAAATTCACTTAAGAACCCCAAGTTATTTTCTGACATATAATTTTTATTAAATAAATTTTAAGAGTATAAAAGCAATACAAATTTTGAAAAAAAATATAAAGTTTAAAAGTAAATAAAGAAATAGAGAAGAAAGAAAATAAAAAGTTATGAAGAAGCTGCTTCTGATTTTCTTAACAGTAGCTAAGTCCATTTATACTTTACTTTCTCTCTCTAAGGTTACAACATAATTTCCTTCTTTATATAGTTTATACTTTCTAATCATCAAATCCATAAATCATAAATTCATTTTTTTCTTTTATCAGCAAAAAATCCATAAGAGGCTTCCAGTCACTAATAAATGTGATTATTGTCCTTTCTCTAATCACACAAGTCAATTTTGCCTTCTTTGCTAATTCTTTCATCTTCATTAGTTTTTCCTCCACTGTGGATATTTCAGAACCTTTCCATTTTTGTGAATATAATATCTTGCAGCAGTTATAAGCCAGTTTGTCACAGAAGGAATCATGCTTCATCTTATCCAGAATTAAAGATATGATAGCAACAGTTGTAAAGAGTTCTTCGTGAAAAATTATTAAGCATTATCCAACATTTTGAAAATAAATGATAAAATCTAGTTTTAAAATAATTGATGTTGATTATGCAATTGAAAACATTGCTCTTATTTCTATCCTATGACTATAGATTTATGCTCCATGATCTAGAATGGAAAATATGGACAGTGGATCTTCTCTGGACATGGATAAAGTAATCAACATGAATGAACAGTGCCATATATTTAAGGAGACTGAGCTTTGGAAAGAAAATGTGGATTTATTAGAAAAGAGTGACTTGGGAAATACTATGTCCTCTTCCCATGAAATGTCAGCCCCAATAAACACAGGAATAAAATTGGGCCCTGATAGCCTTACCAGGAGGCGGGGCCTGACTGGTAAGTTGCATCTGCTGAATGTGGAGCATGATAGTGCTGACAATCCCCCATATCTATTTGATAGGCATGCTCCAAGTAGGATTTCTACTTCTCCAACCTTGAGGAGGCTAAGAAAGAACACATCATCAGTTTCTCAAATATCTCCACTCCAGGACAGTGTTGAGAACATAGGAACAGACAAACAGATGCCACTAGTTGACATTTTTCTTTCTATGCATCCAGAACTTCCTTCACACCCTCAGCACTGTTCTCTCCCATCATCCTCTGGTATTTACTCAAATACAGTGATCCAAATACAACACTCTACATCAGTTAACCCCACAGCGAATCTATTGGATCATAAACATGATTTCAGTGATACTCAAACAGTGCAAAACAGTAGAGAGAACAACTCTTCTCCAGAATATGAAGGAAAGGATTCTCAGCAATATAGCCAGGTAAGTAATGCAAAAAATAATAATCATTTTTTCTTTTCTAAATTGGCATACTTTAGAATTGTTCAGCTGAGAGTCTCATACAATAAATCATTATTACTCTTAGATTTAAAAGGAATTTAGTATTGTTTGACAGCCTATTTCAGCCTGCCTCAACCTGAAATCCCACAAATATGTTGAAACGTGTCTTCCATCTCAACCAGTTAGCATGTTTTTTTTTATAACTGAACACTTCTGTACACTTCTGAAGGGCACCAATTTGGACATCCTTATCTAGTCATTTCCCAATTAAGCTTGCATAGCTTAACTTAATTACTAAGCCTGGAATCATTAGTTTAGGCTGAAAATCAAATAATTTATATTACATGATTGAAACAGTTAAGTTGGTGCTAATCTTCAACCCTCATCATCAACCATCATAGCCAATGTCAAAGAATGCTAGGAGACAGGCAGTAGAGTCCAGAGGACCATTCAGACTCCAGTCACGTGTTAAGCAGTAGAGAGCTATTAGAACTGTCCAAAATTAATTTGTTTTTAAATAAAAAAAACTGTTTGCATAAATGGATTGTAAAGAATCTAGGAATTTAGAGTGCCATATTCATTTTCTGGCATGATTGTTCAGAGCAGGAAACACAAATCCAATCAAGCATTTATCATGCAGTATGGTTTATTAAATGACCTGAATTCCAAAGGTTTCAATTGCCACCTAAACCTGAGTGAGAAAAATTATACGGGAGTTTTGATTCCATCATGAAATAGTTTGAACAGACTGAACAGTCCTATGATTATGGAAAAATGTTTTGCAATATCATTATCAGTTTCCTCAGCCTTGCTACTTCTCAGTCAAAGATGATAGAATTATTTTTTTTCAATTGATTCCAATGAAAGAGAAATTATTATGCTATCCACTGTGTTGGTGTACTCTATCATGCAAGCTGTGGCCCTTAAATATGCCCCTGGAAAACCTCATTTTCCTTCTTGTTGGTGGCAGGCTTAACACCTACCACACTTGCTATATATATAAAAGAATAGACAAAATTTTTCTCTAGTTGTGAATATGCTGTCACATTGGCAAAAAAGCATTTACTCTATTTACTAGTGCCACTAAGCTAACCAAATGGCAGCTTATAGATTGTCCTCTTAATTGGAGTATATTGTTGCTTGAACATAACATAGAAAAGATGGTCACCCATCGTGCTTGTGGGCCTCTTGAATCCAACTAGCTGGTTATGGAATGCTGGACTAAATATCTTCCTGGCCTGATTTGTAGGCCTTAGGTGAATATGGTCTACATTCAATTTGATCCATTCTGAAATTCCATTTTTCATGTGAAATGCAGTCATTAACTATAAGAACTAACACTCAATGCCTTATTTTCTCAGGCCTTGGATTTACATAAATCTAATAGGTATGTATAAATTTAATCTTGCTATTTTAAAATCAACATAATATTCCCATTTTATTTCATGTTAAGAAGTAAGAGTGATATATTCACTGCATCTAACAAAATAATTTCTGTTTAAATATAAATGGCCATATTTTAAATGTTCCACCACTGAGTTGTTTAAACTTGCTCTTTTAACAACAGGTACTTCATGTTTGCATATTAGTTCAGACATGCCCAGCTATATTTATCTTTTCATTTTGTATTGTTAGAAGTAGCTGCACAACTGCTTGAAATTGTTAACAGAGTTGAAACAACCCAATGTAAAAAAAGACTACTGTAATATATCTTTCTCCAAGTTTTTTTTTTAATCCTTGAATTACCAAATTGAAAATATATCTACAATTCAGATTACCTTTTCCTAACCTAATGCCTTTTGGATGTATTGGACTTCAGGTCCCTTAATCCCTAAACAGATGGTCAATATTGAGGAAGATTATTATAGCAATTCTGCACAAGGCACTACACAAAGTCCATGTTGCTACAGATTCATCAAACATAGATTGATTCCTAAAATGTAAAATAATGTTAATGAATATTAAGCCATCAAAAATTAATCATCCATATTCCCTTTATTTTACCTATTAATGACAGAAAAACAAATACCGGTAGATTTTTCAAAATAGATCAACAATTCTTCAGTTATTTGTTGTTTGCAAGTATAACTGTCTTGAAAAATAAAATTACCAATTATATTGGTAGGATCTATTCCTTGCTTTCCGAACACAATAATCCCTTCTCCCCTCCTCTTTTGTTACCTGTAGATAATATTGTTCAATTTTATGATTTTTTTTGTATAAAAACATTACAACCAGGATCATCCTATTAGGAAGGATGAAGTTGTTGTCACAAGGAGCAGATTGCATATGGTAGCAAACTGTTCAGGTTTTCTTTTTCACTTGTGATTGTTCTATTCTATTCTAAATATGTGATGGATCTTTCATCCTCAAGAGAACATATAACTTGGCTTGTTTGAATAAAACCAACCTTGAATTTGAGCAGGAAAGAAGTGATCTGATTTGGGTGATTAATTCTTTGGCCTGATCTTGCAGAACAGAGTTAGGCAGAATCATGCTCTCTGGAATCAAACGACATGATAACTTTTTCAGATTTTGTGCAGAATAAATTAAAATATGCAAACTATAGTGATTATACTAATCTTGTTGCGCTAGATTTATCAAACTCTTTGATTGATTCAATGATTTCTGGTAAGACCTAGAAGGGAAAACTATAATAAAACATGTTATGTAGACATGTTTTGAGTTTATCATAACCCGTTTGAAATTTTAAAACACCATTATATAACAGAGATTGTAATATCTCCGTATGGCTAAAGTGAAATACAATGCATTTTTGTTTTTATGAACAGTATTGACAATAAGACAATTTACTGAGTTCTAAAATTATTTTCATTAAATAGTTCCTTAGGTCATTATTCATACCCTTATTCTTGCAAAGGTAAAATAAGGTTCAAATTTTCAGAAACAGCACAAAATCTAAAAGGAGTAGGATATATGTAAGTAAATCTTTGCATTTGAGTACTGAATGAATGTGTCAGCATTGCATCCAAGCTGATTCATTAATTAGCCATATGGCTCTTTCAGGCTCTTTCATATATATCACAAGACAATCAGAAAATAGAAAACCAGATTGACATGGTTCATTGTCATAAGCCATTGTTTCTTAGCTTGCAAGGAGACTCCACAACAGTAGGAACAAAACTGTTACGGAGAAGCTGCTATTTAAACATGCAAAATGCATGTATTATATATCTGTATTAATGGTACTTGTATTTACTCAGTAGAAAAGTTTATATTTGTGTTCGTAAAATATGAGATGAAAATCAATGCAAGTCAGCCTTACAATGAACCTAGATGTATTAGGACTGAGATGACATGGCTGCTATATGATAGCAAAGCTAAATTGTTTGACCAACGTTATTTTCTCTGCAAAGGTTCCTCTAGGTCAGCCACCCCACAATGTTGATTGGGTAAATGGCTATATATTATTGTACAAGGTTGCTTGTTTGCTTCAAACTATGAATGTTGGGACCCTTGGTAAAAACGAAGTTGAGGGGCGCATTTTCTCCCTTCTTTAATAACAACTTTCTTGGAAGTAATTAACCACCCTGTTTTTGTTTTCCTTGTAAACTATACAGGTCAACTGTCCGCAGGCATAGCTCAGTGGTAGTGAGTTTGCCTGGATTTGAGATGTTCCCTGGAGACTTGTTGATATCAGACAGTGCAGCACAATTCCTATACCAATCAACATCACTGCAAAACTCAGGTCAGGGAGGAAAAATTGTGAATTGAGTTTTTAACTAAAATAACTTCTGTGGTTTTTTTTTTTTTTTTAGAATAAATTTTTATTAATTTTTCATTAAAAAACAAAAACATAATTTTTTTTATCACAATATCAACCAAAAAAAGAATCAAAACCAATCAATACATTCACGGATGTGTCCGGTGTCCCCCTCCCGCACCACCCTCTCACTTACCTACACCTTCCTCCTCCCATCCTACCTCCACTCCTCCTTCCTCCCTCTTCCTACCTCCCTTTCTCCCTCAACCATCCCGCCAGTGCAGTTGGGGTATCACCGGACACCTCCTTAAAAAGAAAAAACATACATATGTATACATACAAATCTATAATACCAACCTACCCCCTTTCCCCCCTCCCCCCCCCAGGACTTCCCAAAGCTAATCTAGGAAATACATACATAATCTTCCAAATCTAATCAAAACTACTCATTATTACTACACACTAGTACAAAGTTTCTGTGACTCTAAAATAACATTAAAATACAACAAAAGAAAAAAGAAAAAAAATTTTTTAAGTTATATTATATAATATACCTATTTTTATTCTAAGTTTTTAATCAAAAGCTACATAATAATTTTTTAGTTCATACTTTCTCTGAATATAATCTATCCATCTTCTCCACATTGAGATAAATTTATCCTGAGAATGATCCTTCAGGTACGCGGATATTTTTGCCATCTCTGCAAAATATGATACTTTCTGTCTCCAATCATCCATGGTTGGTAATATCTTTTTTTTCCAATTTTGAGCAACTAATGTCCTTGCTGCTGTCATTTCTTTTTGATCCAAATTATCCATGATACCCAATAGAAATAACTGCGGTGTAAATTTTATCTTTTTCTTAAAATTCTGTTGAATATTCCACCAAATCTTAATCCCAAAAGCTTTAACATCCCTACATGTCCACCAAATGTGATAATAAGTAGCATCCATACTACCACATCTCCAACATTTTGGTTGCAGATTCAGATACATGCAAGACAATTTTTGAGGATCTAAATGCCATCTATAAAACATTTTGTAGAAATTTTCCCTTAAATTCTGTGCTTGAGTGAACTTGACATTTCTTACCCAAATTTTCTCCCAAGTTTCCAAATTAATTGGTTCTTGGATATTTTGAGCCCATTTAATCATACAATCTTTAACCAATTCCGTTTCCGAATCAAATTCTATCAAAACACTATATATTCTCCTAATATGGGCTCTACTTTGATCTTTAATCTGTTTTATCAAGTTCACATCTTCTACCATTAAACCCAATTTTTGGTCTATATGCCATCTCTCAACAAGTTGAAGATGTATCAACCAGGACTGGAGTACCTTATCCTGTTTTAACTCTTCCAATGATTTAATTTGCCAGTCCTGTCCTCTTAACCTAAGTAGCTCTTTATAAACAATACCTTGTAATTTTACTCCCCTTACTATTCCTTGTATTGCATGTTCCGGAATAGC